CATCCCCAGCCTTTTTTTATTTTTTATTTTGAGACAGGGTCTTGGATAAGTTGCTAAGTTGTCCATCCTGGCCTCAAACTCGCCATCCTCCTGCCTCAGCCTCCCAAGTGCTGGGGTTACAGGTGGGCGTGTGCGCCACCATGAGAAGCTGTATCCCCGCCCCCATGCGGGGGATCAAACTCAGGCAGGCACGCTGCGGCGCCACTGAGCTAAATCCCTGGGCCCTGAGGCCCGTTTTTTTTTTTTTGAAAGCTTTTAAATTTTTTATTTGAGGCTGTATTTTTAAAGTGACGAATGGACAGTAAGTTCTTGCAGCCCGTGGTTTAGCTAACAGATGTGAACAAAATTGACCGGAGCGGGTGGACTCAGCAGGTCGCTGTCACAGGCCAGAGTCCCCTCAGCAGGGGAGAGGAAGCCCCGAGAAAGGGATGGGAACTGGATGGGACCGGGTGGGACTGGGAAGGAGACAGCAGCTGCAGGTGACTCAGCTCAGCTGAGGAGACCCGACCCGACCCCGAGGTGCGGTGGAGGGAGGCGCTGTGCTGGGCTTTTTGCTTTCTCGCCCTTTTCTTCAGAAGGGAGGCTGCGCTTGCATCTGGGTGGAGCCCAAAATTTCAGTTATGAAAATGGAGTTTCAGGGTTCCCCGTGGTCTGGCTTCAGTGTCCCCTCCCCTCCTCTCTTCTTTCTGCTGGGGATTGAGCTGCATCTTGGGGCTTCTCACTGAGCTACATCCCCAGCCCTATTTTATTTTTATTTTGAGACAGACTCTCAATAAAATGCTCAATTGCCCAGGCTAGGCTGGAACTTGTAATCCTCCTGCCTCAGCTTCCCAGAGTGCTGGGACCGCGGTCCTGTACCACCACACTCAGCTACCGTTTTTCTTTAAAAGAAAAATATCAATAACCTGCCTTTTCTTCAACTCCAATTTTATTCTCATAATTTTTTTTTTTTGGTACCGGGAATTGAACTTGGGTCCTTGAGCTTACGCAGCAGGCGGCGAAACCACTGAACTAAATCCCTGGCCCTAATTTTTTTTCTTTTTGAGACAAGGTCTCGCTATGTAATCCAGGCTGGTTTTTGACTCACTATGTGGCCTAGATTGGCCTCAAACTCACAGCGATTCTCCTGCCTCAGCCTCCTAAGTGCTGGGATTACAGGCATGCGCATGCTCCACCACGGCCATTAAATTTTTTTTTTTT